CAGTGTGCCTTTGAATTGGCAGTGCAGCTCCTTACTATTAGGCCATCAAGTCGACTCCAATTCATAGCAACCCTAAGATAAACAACAGATTGGAAACTTGTTGTATCCTGCACCATCCTCACTCTCTCTGCAACGCTCCAGCCTGCTGTTACAGTCACCCTGTCAGTCCATCTTGTTGAGGGTCTTCCTCTCTTTTGTGGACTCTCTTCACCTCTCCCAATATGATGTCTTTGTCCAAGGACCGACTTCTCCTGACAACATAGCCAAAGTATGTGAGGCGGACTTTCACCATCCTTGCCTCTAAGGAGAAACCTGGTTGCACTCCCTCCATGACAAATTTATTTTTTTCTTTTGTCCATGGTATATCCAATTCCACCAATCAAAATTACAATCTATATTCTTAAGTATTTTTGCCATATATTGGTGGTCTGTTTTGTTCTATGATTTCCTTCTTTAATTTTGCTTTTGATTAAGCCTATAATGATCAGAAACAATAGTTTTGAGAACACCTTTTCAGAAATAGTACAAGAATGTTAGATTTTTCAAGTACTGATTTCTGGAAATGGGTCTGTTGTCTTAGAAAATGGACAATGTCTTTATTGTGCTTGGTTTATTCTGCTAGAATTATGTTCTTTATTTTCCTCCTTAAAAACATAAAAGTGTCACTCCATAATCTTTGATATTTCAAGCTAACATAAGATCTAAGGGCAGTTTGATTTCTGATGTTGTTTTTCCTGCCAAGATGCTGACAAGACTTTCCTTTTCTCTGAAAAATTAAAACCTTTTCTAAGCTTGAGTGAGAATGACTCATTTTCTGTTTAATTCTGTTCCATTTTATCAAGTTTTGTTTTAAGAAAATCCTTTTTATTTTTAAATAAAATTTCCCCCCTCTGTATGTTATGTCTGCCATCTTCTCCTATCATGCCAGTCTCTCTCTCTGTTTCCTCAGCATCCTGCATTTCCTACATCAGTGATTCTCCAAGTGTGTTTCAATGACTGTGGTGCCCTGATAGATGTTTAGGAGCTGGATTGGGGTGTGAAGGAGGGAGAAGCTCTGATTAGTGGGAACTGTCAATGTCTGTATTATAAGTACTTCCATGCTAGCTGGAAACGTGCTGCCATTAAAGGGAGAGTAAGGAAGAAATGCAGACAGTCTGCCCGGCTGAGCTAGTGAGAGTTGACTTCATAGTCTCAGGGATGAACCTCTAAGGGTCCTCATGACTCTTCCAGGGAGTCTTTAAGGTCCTCTATTCCTGTAATAGTGAGCTCTGGAGGCCTAATGATAAGGAGTTGTGCTGCTATCCCAAAGGCACACAGTTCAAATCCACTAGCTGCTCTTTGGGAGTAGGGTGGGCAGTATCCTCCCAGTGATTTACTTCCTCTGAAAACCTGCTGGACGGTCAGCTATGCATTGGTTCCAACTCAACAGCACACAACAACAGCAACATTTCTGTAATTTCCAGTATTCTTTGATAACACTACAATTAAAAATCATCAAATCGCCCTTAGAATTTCTCCCAAGAACTTGACTGCCAAAAGAACAGACAAGTCTGTCTTGCACGAAGTTCAGCCAAAAGCTCCTCAGCAGTGAGGATGGTAAGATTTTGTTTCATAATACGTTGGACATGTTGTCTGGAGGGGCCAGGCCCTGGGGAAAGACAAAAGACATCACACTTGGAGAAGTAGATGGTCAGCAACAAGAAGACCCTCAATGAAATGAGCTGACACAGTGGCTACAACCATAGGTTTCAGCACAGAGATGGTGAGGATGGCACAGGACTGGGTAGTGTTTTGTTCTGTTGTACATATAAGCTATACGTGTGCAAATCCTTGTGTAGCAGAATATATTACAAAATTTGTGTGTGAGAATCTACCTTCCAGAGTAGATGATTGTGCAGTAGCTTTATCACATTCTATATCACAAGGTATATATTTACCCATTCATATAATATTGGGAAAGTCTGCAATTAGGGACCTCTTCAAAGTACTGAAGAACAATGGTATCTTTGCAATCACTTGCTATGCATCAGAGAGCTGGACAATGACTAATGAGGATAGAAGGGGAATTGATGCCTTTGAGCTGTGGTGCTGGGGAAGAACATTGAATATATCAAGGACTGCTAAGAAAATGAAAAGGTTCATCCTGGAGAGGGTTAAATCAGGCTGCTTCTTGAAGGCAAGGATTCTGAGGCTTCATTTGACATACTTTGGACATGTTGTAAGGAGGGACCGGTCCTTGGAGAGGGACGTCATGCTTGGAAGGGTGGACGGACAGTGCAGGAGAGGAAGACACTCTATGAGGTGGATTGATTCTGTGGCTGTGGTAATGGGGGTAAGTATGTCAGAGATAGTGAGACTGGCACAGGATAGAGCAGAGTTTAGGACTATTGTACATAGGGTCGTTATGAGTCTCAGGCAACTCGATGACACCTAACAACAACAATCATTTCTTGAAATGACTCTTTTCTGCTAGGACTTTGGTATAGTACTACAGCTATGCATAAGTTGGTAAGAAGTTGTATTGCCTATCCAAAGGTGCAGTTCTAATCCACCAGCTGCTCTACAGAAGAAGGATAGGTGGTCCCCTCCTGTGTGATTTATTGCCTCTAGAAATGACTCAGTGGTACATAACAACAATTGTACAAAAGGGAGTTGTGGTGCCTTAGGGGTAAGTGGTTATGCGGGAAGCAGGAGGCTCAACTTGCCAACTGCTCCTTGGAGAAAGATGGATAGTCTCCTCCTGTTCGGTTTACAGCCTCTGAAATGCCCCTGGAGGATCAGCTGTCGGTTCTGACTCAATAGCACGTAACAACAACAAATGTACAAATGAAGATGTGCCTTTAATGAACCGCCAAAAAAACTCAAATCCAAAAGTGCTTTGGATGTTAACTTCTAGTTCTTGCCATTGAAAGAAGGGTCAGAATAAATGGTACTAGATACTGACTTTTCTTTTTTTGGTTGTATAAAAAAAATACACTCTGATTTTCTTTTCTAGGATAAAAATAGATTTCTCAATTACTAATTTTGTTTTTCATTATTTCAAACACACTTGTATGCAAAGACATTCTTTCAACTATTAATAATCAGAGACCTGTTGGTCACTGCTGCTGTCTTTTGTCTTTCTTTCAGCATTGCCTCTAGGATTTCTCCAAAAATTGTTTGCCAGGAGTAAAAATGTAATTTGCTTGCCCTGGTTGGCAATATTGATTTGCCAGGTTTTTGTCTGGTTTTTTTTTCTCCCTTACTTCCCAAGAATTTTTTCAGTGTTCTAAAGTTGAAAATGAGGGCTGCCTATAGTATGCCCAGGCCAGGAAATTTTTGGCTTCTAAATATTTCCTGAATTAAATCCTTTCTATTCATTCCACCTGCCAAAACCTAGGTGGTACCCTCAGCATCTCCTCTGGTCCAGCATCCACCGCATCTTCAGTTCCGTCTCCAGCTCCCTTCCCTGCTCTGCTGCGTGCTGCAAGAAGAAGCTTCCAGGATCATCAGTCTCCTTACCGTTGTTCATACTGTGGCTGAGATCTGGACTCTGTCCTTCCTGTCCCTGAACATTATCCACTCCATCTTCTCTGCCCAGGTTTTCCAAAGGAACCTGTTAACTTTGATCATCCTGTTGCTTTGTGTTCCTGCCTCTGCTGAAATGCTCTTCTCTTTGTTCCTAGTCAGTGTTACACCTCAAATAATTTCATCTCCCTCAGGTCCACAGTGATTTCTCCCTTCCCTGAATTCTTAGAACAATATCCATTCACTTACTTGCCAGAATACCCACCATGTGCAAGGCATTCTGGACAGTTAGTACTGAGTCAAGCCATTGTGATCTCTGCTTCCTAATGAAGCATTCTGTGTTTCATGGGTGACCTGGTAGCATCACACTTAAGTGCTTGGCTGCTAAGTGAAAGGTTGGCACTCTGAATGCACCTAACAGCTCTAAGGGAGAGAGACCAAGTCATCTACTCTCATTCAAAACCCAAAACAAATCCACTGCCATGGTGCTGATTTAGACCCAGGGGGCCCACCACTGAGTTTAATCTTATTGAGAGAAGATGGCCTCATCTTTCTTCCATAGAGAGGCTGGTGGAGCCAAACAACAGAGCTTTCAATTCACAGGTGAGTACGTGACCCCTGTTCCATCAGAGTTTTTTTCTCATAAAGATGACAGCCTATAAAATCCTCTAAGGCGGTTCTACTGTCACATGGAGCTGCTGGGAATCAATGCCAGTTGATCATACCTTAAACATCGTATGCTCCAGGGTGGTGCCAAATTACGTTTCATATGGATGAACTGACCCTTCATTTAACTTGGAAACTTGTTAATGTGTGGGACTATCCTGTTTGAATGGAGATCTGGTAGCCTAGTGGTAAGAAACCACATGGCAATCCCAGAGGTGCACAGTTCGAATCCACCAGGTACTCCACAAGAGAAAGATGGACATTCTCCTCCTGTACAATTTAGCGCCTCTTAAAACCTGCTGGAGGGCCATCTATGAGTTGGTTCTGACTTAGTGACACACAGAGCAACAATCCTCTTGAATAGTCTTATCAATGTCCATATGAAAGGAATTGGGCAAACTTTGGACTTGCCTAGACCATTTGGAGGTATCCCCTACAAATACAAGATCGAATCATTGCATTTAGATGTTCTTCAGAAATTCTATTACTAAAAATAAAAATGGTGAAACCAGGGAGCCTAAAACTCAAAGGAGCCAATATGCAAATGTCTTCTTTTGCAGACCATGCCTAATCTTCATGATTTTTGGAGGACTTTTCCTTTAAATATGTAATTCTTGTTCCTTCCACTCATAATTCCCTCAGGCATCGAACACAGAAGGCCTCAATTTTTTAATGGAAATAAGCCAAAATAAAGGAGAAAATAGTGTCTGTGGTTCTACAAGAATCATAAATTCTTCAGGATTATAGTAGCAGCAGAAAAATACATAAGAAAGATAAGAGAGGGCTCTCTTTTCCCTACAAGAAATGCTTCATTATAAAATGATTAGAAAAAGATAAACACAGCCTGCAAACACTGGACCTCAAAGGAGGATTTGAAGTTTTAAATGGACTCTGGGCTGGGAAAATAAGGAATCAGATCTTACTAATGGAGAAGACACAGCTCTTTGCCAGAATTCAGAATATAAAGTAATATTTGCTAAATGCAAGTTCCCCGTCAACTTATAACTTTCCCATCCTCAGCAGCTTTATATTTCTAGACCTGTCTATCCCTAGACAGACTGACAAGGACTATTCAACATCAGTGGACTTTACTTTCAGTGCTTGGTTTACATGAGAGTCCACTTTGAAAAGAGCCAGCTGGACTTTTAGCCCAGGAACTATTGAATCGAACGAAGAACAACGTCTTCTGCCTAAATCAGAGGATCTCAACCTGGGGCCAGAGGAACTGCTAAGGGCAATATTGCTGGAGTTCATGGATTCTGTGAATTCAACGGGGGAAAGCCAGTCATATCCACTTGCACTAAGCTTTAACTAAGCCAACTACCACCCAACAAATCAACAAGAAAGAATGCCCAAACCCATCCAGTAATCCCAACGCACAGCAACCCTATAAGACAGAGGAGATCTACTCCATAGGATTTCCAAGGTGGAAAGACTCTACCTCATCTTCCTCCTGAGGTGCAGCTGGTAGTTTTGAACCATCTATCTTTTGGTTGATCACCAAGCATTTAACGTGGTGCCACCAGGACTCCTTCCTGAAGTGTAGATGAAAACCAGAGTAGCATTGGCTGTTTCTGGAAGTTTTCCAAAGAACCCTGGTTGCACAGTGGTTAGACACGCAGCTGCTAACTGAAAGGAGGTGAGTTTGAACAAACAAGCCAGTGTGAGAGGTAAAGATGTGGTAGTCTGAGTCATAGAGATTACAGCCTAGGAAATGCAATGGGGCTGTTTTCCTCTGTCCTCTGTGGTCACTGGAATTCAAGATGAAGCTTGATAGCAACAGGCAAGGGGTTCCCCCCCCAATAAATAACATTTTTTTTGCCACGTTATAGTTCTTGATAATATTTTGAATGATAATTTATACTCATAATTTCTTCACAGTAATGGTAATCTGATCTGTCACTAGGTCTTACTATTTAATGTTAGCAAAGAAGCAAAATCGCTGCTATTTTACCACATATTTGTGTTTGAAAATACTTTTCAATAATTTTATATTTCCATATAATTGACTCATTTTGAGATAGCATGTATTTTATTTTACACCCTTACAAACATTATTACACACACACACACACACACACACACACACACACACACACACACACACACGTGTTAAGCACCTCTAGCTCAGTTCCCATTTTTTATGTTTGTTTATTAATCATGTGGCTTTAAGTCAATGGAACATGTTCAGGCCAAAGTGTAGCTGCACTGTAAGCTCCCAAACACTTAGAATAATGTTGAATTTGCTACTTTTATCAGATGAATATCCATTCCATTCAGTGGCAGGAAATAGTAAAAACTCCATATAAACAGTCTGTTATTGTTAATTAGGGGTATCGAAAGCAGTAGCAGTAGTTGCATTTAACAATACAACTATAATTAAACCTATTGCCAAGTTTTTGGCAATCTTAACCATCAAAACTATCCTCAAAATAATACCATTATGTTTGTATTCTCAGCCTCTCCCCACCCTGTATTCTCATTTAATCACCACATTCTGAGAGGAAAGAGTGGATATTATTACATCCATTTTACAGATGAGGAAAAGTAGGCCCTACAGGATTTTTGTTTTATTTTTTGTTTTGTTTTTGTTTTTATCAGTGTGAGGTAAAAATAATCTCTACTCAACAGATGGAGAAATAATCTCTGAGAGGTTAGGGAAGTTGCAGAAAGACTCAGGGCTGGGATTCAAATCAAATTTGATCAGCTCCCCAAATCTTCCTTTTTTTCCATTGTGTTGTGCTCCATCTCTCACTTTCCTGTTGTCAAATTACGGGGCTGAAAGATTCTTAGAAATGAACCTCCATTCCCCACCCCTTCCCCAGGGACGCTCGCTCAGTTGAGTCATGAGGTACGTACACTCAAGGGAGAGGGAGATGAAGCATTTCTAAGATCTTTCCAATCTTTGGCACAGCTCAACCCAAGGGCCTCAGGAGAGGGTTATGAGGACTTTCTCCTTGAAAAGGAGCCCTGGGGACATCGTGCCTAACACATGAGGACTGTTAAATAAAAAGTCAGCAGTTCAAATCTCCCAGTGGCCCCATGGGAGAAAAATGGGCAGTCTTCTTTGGTAAAGATGTCCAGCTACAGAAAGTCAGAGGAGAGTAGTCCTTGAGTCAGAATCATCTGGATAACAGTGGGAGCTTCTCCTTAAAGGCCACTGCCCACCTAATAGTGGGGTTGTACATGCGTGTATATGTGGGGTGTACGAAAGGCTTCCCGCTCTGATCTCTTCAACTCAGGGAAATAGTATCTGCCAGCAGAGAACGTGTGTTTTAAATCAAACTAATAACTATGGAACAGGAATCCATCAGTCTCGTAGCTGTGGTTTTCAAATTTGGGGAGTAAATTTAATTCATGATGAATACTGGCATACCTAGTTTCCCCCCGAGGTGCAGGTAAATGCTATCACTCATTTGTATGGCAGGGAGGCATTTCCCCTGCTTTCTATTCTTCCTGGTTTCTTATTTGCTGTTAAACTGTTGCCGATCTCAAACCACGAGCATGTTGTTAACTCCAGTTTAAATAGCAGGCAGTAGTGGGAGTTCTTGTTCTTTTAAGAAATGCCCAGCATAGGAGGACTTGGAAAACTGCCCAAAGAATGTCCAAACCGGGAGAGTTTGCACAGAAGTGCAGGCGCAGCCCAGTTCCCCTCCTTTTTCTGGAAGCCCTTGTTTGGGTTGTTGTGACAGTGCCACATATAATCTGTTTCAACTCAAGTGAGATTGAAAGCCTGTGATGTAGTTTGTGTTCTCTTGTGCTGCCCACTGATTTGCTGACTGGGTTTCTAAACCCACTTTGAAGCTCTGCATATCATTCTTCCTTTAACTATCGTCATGAAACTGCTAGTTAGAAAATCATGCATAGTCAAATGTGGCTTTTTGCTAAGCAATTATCAAGTCTCACTTTAAAAGCCTGCCATGTACATCTTTGCTTCTTTCTCTGCCCAAAGCCCAGCCAAATGATTGATTCTTAAACATGCTGATGTAACAGTTAATCTCTATTTAAATGTTTACAAACTGTTTGTTTCTAGTAGACATTTTTGTGCATTATTTTCCTGTTCTGGAAAACCTAAACGCAACATGGAAGCAAACTCTGTAACTTTGGTTCCAAAAGCAAACTAACTTCCAAATAATATCAATTCACTGCCCCCAAAGCTTCACCCCAGCCTGCTTTCCTGAAAAATTCAGGCAAATCTTTAATTGAAATAGATTTTTTTCCACTTGAAATATAATTGTGCATGCACCCATATACTACTTTAATTTCCTTTGCTTAGCAGGGAGAAAGTTAACAGTAACGTTAAACCGTTGACCATCTGCAAGGAGAAGAGATTAATTTACACTACTCTCTTTGTCACAGAAGTTTAATAAAGAAGTGAGGAAAATCTGTAAAGCTAAGCTCTTTCTTTCCTCTCTTCTTTCTCCTTGTCTTTGTAGGAACTTTCACAATTACAGAACCTTAGTTTAATTTATTGCAGAAAGTTCACGGACAAAGGTTGACAGTAGCCGAGTTTAGGCAGAGGATGCCACAGGCTTACCTAGCTGTACCTTTCAGGCTGCACCCAGGTCTTTCAGTCTTCTCTTTCCTGCAGCGTGTGATGAAGGAGTTCTCCGGAGAGCGGGCTGTGTCCAGCCCTCATGTTCTGCTAATGCTGTGCACAGCCTGCTGCACGCTTCTCAGAGGTTTTGAAAATTACATGGCCACAGCTGCTTAAATTTTCCCCAGGAATGCTATAGGCTCTTGGCTCTGTTCCCCGCGGGTGTCACATCAGCAAACAGGCAGAGCTCATTGGATGATGAAATGAACCACTTCTGTGTAGACAATCTGAACACAATTCCAATTCTTGAGAACTGGGGAGTTGCTACCAAGACACAAAGGAAAACCCTTTTGGAGGGAGGTTCTGCAGAGAACTTGCTGAAAAGGCAATTAGCTCCCACGTGAGCCTTTAAAGGGGAAAGAGTGTTGGGGAAAAGGCTACAAGTGGTGAGCTCGAGAACGGAAATATAATATAAAATTTATAGTAAAAAGAGTACATTTCATCTTTGATTAAATAGCATGAAGATTTGAGAGCTGGGTGGGAAATCTTTTAAGTCTGAGGGAACAGGATCAGGAAAATTCAGCAGAAAACAGGGTGGAGTTGTAGTGGGGAGAGCATGGTATTTGGAAGGGGTTACTGCATCATAGAGTCTTGCTCTGATGCTGATAGAAGGTACCCTAGTGGCATCATGAGTCAGAACATTCAACTACTCTCAACAAAAAGGCCAGTGGTTCGAATCCACCAGTGGTTCTGCAGGAAAAAGGGGAAGCAGTCTCTTTCTGTGTGTGGGCAGTTCTGCGCCCTGTCCTTTGCGGTCACTGTGAATGAGACTCAAGTTGATGGCAAGTAAATTAAATTAAGGTAAAGTAAAGTAGGTAGTGATTTAAGATTTAACCTCTGACTTTTTTCAGCTTCAATTCTTCCATCTCTTCGTGTGTGTCTGTGTGTGTGTTTTCACATATTAATAGTCGCAGTATGCCCATCTTTCTATGAGAGTGACATAATAGAGCAGGTAAGAACTGGTTGCAGTGTTGCCGGGTACCATTTGTTGTGTTTTGGTGACATGACAGAGACAGTGCTGCTGAGGGCTTCACGTGGTTAAGATTTAGTCCTTATCTCCATGCTCTGTCAACTCAACTCTATTCATTGCCATCACGTCAGAACAGACTCCTAGCTGACCCTTCATTCTGTTTCAAATGAGAGGGTAAAACGCTCAGGAGAAGATTGCCCATCTTTTCTGCTGTGGAGCCAATGAACTAGTAGTAGTGGATTTGAACCACCAGAAAGGTATGGTCTTTGAGCTAGCAGCTCAGCTCCTTACAGACCACACCACCAGGGTTCTACAGTGCTGTGTGGTATGCATATGTGATGCCCATTTCACAAATGAGGGAACCATCACTCAGAGCAGTTGAACTGGTCCCATGCTGCAGCTGGTAAGAGCCCAGAGTTCTAGTGCAGTTACAAATAACAACATGGTGATGCATGAGGATGTTCCAGACTCTGGAAGACAGAAGCTTTTGAAATTTCCAACTCTTGGATTTTTAAATAATCCTATTTTCATTTATCATTATCCTTTTTTCACTAAACAGTGCAGCTATTCTGTGGAGTCTGTTCAAATAATATTTTTATACATTTCTGAAAAATATGCAGGCTTATTTTATTAAAAATTTTTAAAAACCAACACTTCTTCTATCCAAAACAATCCCAAATCCATTGTACTTATTTATTGATAATTTTGACACCAGTATCTCAGGTGGTTTCACTCCAGTGTTCACTTTCTCATGACTCTTAGAGTTGGTTCCCTGGAGAATATTGCATTCGAAAGGAAAAACACCCACGAAATGGGACCTGTCTCAAGGGCAGTCCCTGCATGGCTGCTGCCCAGTTCTTGAGTCTTTTCCTCTGTTAACTGGTGTCCATTCCCTGATGGAACCGGTCCTTCTTTACATCCTCATAATGGAAACACCCATCTACTTTGTATGAGATAGTCAAGCGTTACTCATAGATGTTGGTCTTTATCCAGAAGCCATATTATCCTTTAGTTTTATTAATATTTGTGTTAGTTGAGATGTTTGAGTAGCAATGAAAAGAAACCTAAAGCCAAAGGGCTTAAACAATGGGAACATTTTTCTGGTGGCCTCCTGGAAAGAAGCTGTACTGAAATCCCCAAAGCCATGGGGTTAACACCCTCCAGCTTCTCTGCAAGAGAAGAACGAACAGCCTCCTTGTGTGCTATTAACTGTCTCTGAAAACCCTCCAGAGGGTCAGCTATGTCAGTTTTGACTTGAACACACACAACACATATTAAGAAATCCATAGGTGGGTGGCTCCAGGAAACCATAATAGCTTCACTAATTTGGCATTTTAATCAGTAACTCAGATTCCATCAATATTTACTACTTGAGTAGACTAGGTGATCTAACAACCAAAAGGTTCAGTGACTTACATAATCAAACCTCATTTTTTCACTCAGTTCACAGTCCAATACAGGTATTTGGCTGGTGACCCTCTGTGGGAAGACTCTGGGGTTCAAGCTTCCACCCTGTAGCCTTTGATCCCACAGGATTTGTTAATTCTCTACTTGCAGAAACAGACAAAAGGGGAGAATTACACGGGAGGGTTTGTTTTGTTTTTTTCCTTTATAAACTAGGCCTGGAAATTGCATACCTCACTTCCTTTCCCATTCCTCGGGCCAGAACTCAGTTATTGTGACTGATCAGTGTGGCTGAGAGGAAAAGGAGAATGATTTGTGAAAAGCCAGCCGCTTTGTCCTCTGCATATGGACTTTCCTTCTGTTAATTGTAAGATGGCCGCCACATAGTTTTACAGCCAGATAGCACATTGCCGGACAAAGAGATGCTATTTTCTGTGTGTGCATATTTGTGTGTGTGTGTGTGTGTGTGTGTGTGAAGGTTTTTCTGAGACATCTGTGAGAGGCTTCCCCCTTCATGATTCACTGACTACATTGTAACCATGTTCACATCCTTGAAGTAGTTACTGGCAATGGGAAGGGATGAGCACAAGGGACCTGAATGATTTGGAATGTGTATGCAGTCATCTTCTTTGAGAGGTGGATTAAAAAAAATTTTTTTTTAAATTTCATACTGGTTTACTTCCAAAGTTCATATTCATTCTTTTTCACACCAGATCTTTCCCATTTCCTTTACCCACCCCTCCCTTCACCCATCAAATTGTGTGACCCTATGATTAACGTGTCTCCCTCTTCCCTCCATCAATCCACATTCCTCTGCTCCCACCCTCCCCTCCTTGGATCCTCAGACATGTTCTACAATAATGGTCTTATACAGTATTTGTCCTTATGGGACTGAGTTAGTTCACTTACCTAAATTCTCTCCAGTCCCTCCCAAGTTAGGTAAGTAATTTACAAAACCATTGCTCCTACATACTGTGTAGTATTCCATTATGTGAATGTACCACAACTTCTCAATCCACTCAATTATGGTTGGATATTTGGTTGTTTCCTTTTTCTTATGATGGTGAATAACATTGCTATGAACAATGGTGTACAAGTCTCCATTTGTGCCTCAATTTTCATTTTCTTGGGGTATATTCCAAGCAGTGTAATAGTCATATGGAATTTCTATGTTCAGCTTTTTTTTTTTTAAGTCAGATGTCCCCATGTGCACATGATTTTGTCACCAGGATGGTACTGGTTAGTATGTTCAGCTTTTTGAGGAAATGCCAAACTGCCTTCTAGAGTGGTTGTACCATTTTACAATCCCACCAACAATGTATAAGAGTTCCTATTTCTCTACATCCATGCCAACCTTTATTACTTGCTGTCCTGTTAAATTTTGCCACTGCTACTGGAGTGAGATGGTATCTCATTTTATTGCCAGTGATTTTGAGCATTTCTTCATGTGTCTGTTGGCTGTATGAATATCTTCCTCTGTGAAAATGCTTTCCATGTCTTTTGCCCAGTTTGTAATTGTTTTATCAGTCTTTTTCTTATGGAGACCCTGTAAGATTCTGTAAATTTTTTCTATGAGACCCTTGTCTGAAATGTTATTGCCAAATGTTTTTTCCTAATCAGTAAGGTGTTGTTTTTTTGTTTTGTTTTTGTTTTTGGTTTTTTTTCACCTTGTTGGCAAATGTCTTTGATGTGCACAGGGAACGTCCCATTCATCAGTTTTATGAGAGGCAGATTTTTGCACAGAACTGAGGTTCCACTGACAAGGAAGAAGGGGATAGATATTGTTCAATATGTAAGTACCTTCTAGAACTCCAAATAGAAGTTATTCATTCAATCCAGAGCAATATCTTTGGAGACGGAGGTGAAAGAATCTAGGGCAGGCTTTACTTCGACATGTGCTTTCCTTTCTGAAGCACCTCATGATGTGACTTATCTCCTTGTCCTCCTAAGTTTTCAGAGGTAATTTTTACCCAACAATATATCTTACACATGCACACAGAGAGAACCAAGTACATGTATACACTTTTAAAGGATAAATGTTAATTCTCAGATCTAGTAAAGCACAAGTGCTGAGTTTCAGATGGTGACCCACTGTCCAAATCTTCATGCAGAGAACACAGAAATGTTTTAGCCTGCATAGACTGTCTTTAAATTCAAAACTAACATTTTATATTTGGGAGAATTCATATAAGTCCCAAGATTTCAAGCTTCTCTTTAAAAATTGGAAGAACTGCTAATGCTGGACTTGTGTTCCTACATGGAAGCAAGGGGCTGAAGCTCAAATCCCTCTGCCCCTTGAAAGGAGGCATGCTTTCTGGGTTTGCTCCTCCCTAGTACACTCAGTAATGTCCACATTTGTGCCTACATTTGGACTGCCACCATGGAGCCGCCTTACCTGCCTGCTTGGCTTTAAGTTGCTTGACCCCAGGAGGCATTTGAGTTTGGTCTAAACATACAAAAAAAAAAAAAACCAAAAAAGAAAGAAAGAAAAATTACCTCTTAACTAAAAGACACTTCCAAATCACAAAGCGGTTAGTATTTCCACGTCGTTATACAAAACAGTATTGGTTTCTTTAGTTAATTCTTCTTTCATTTCCACTTG